ACACACACACACACACACACACACACACACACACACACACACACACACACACACACAAATGCACACTCACAACGACTCCCCTGGTCTTGACAGCAGATGCAGACCTGTCCAGATGAACTGTTATTGATGGAGGGATGTATCATCCTCCCTCCCACTGTCTCTGACACACTGCATTGATGAAGTATGCTGCTGCTGCACAGGCCGAGTACAGCCAGTGTGATACGTCTGGGAGGTTCCAGGCCATATGTTGTGACTTCCATGTCTTGCAAGGAAACAAAAGACGATGCTTTTTTTGTTTTGTTTTTTTCAGAGCAATGCAACTAAATAAAATATGAATATAAGTTAGCAAATGTCTCATGAAAAAATGAAAAAAAACAAGCAAAATTGCATTCTGTGCCATTTAAAGTTTGGTGCCCTTTTTTTTTGTAGCTGGTAATGATATTACCTATTTTAGGAAGCAGTAGTGTGAAGGAAAATCTGTCTCTCGAGTCCAGTAGTCCACTATAATCAAACTCTATTTAGTTTCTCATTTTCCTTTATTTCTGTCCCTTTATTTAAGACTAATGTGCCTTTCTGTTCCAAATTGGAAGTGTGTGATTAGTCCCGGAGTGCCACAGAAAGCATATAACAACCTGTGGTTATATTTTAGCTTTCAGTGCGGCACGTCAGCTTCAATATTTCTCCCTTTAGTCTCCCCTGCATGCTGTTTCACAAAGTGCATTTTAACAAAAGACAAAGTGCTGCTGTTAATGTGCTGTAATTACAGATGAAGGTGGATTGTGAGGCAGACTGCCATCTACTGGCTTATAAAGTGTCCCCCCCCCTCACCCACCTCACCTCACCCCAGTCAATCTCACCCTTCCTAACTCCCACTCAAGAAGGCAATTATACTGGAGGTAGACAGAGTTCATGCACGCACATTCTGGAATCACCAGATGTATGCATAAGCACACATTCAGCCCGGAGGCTGTGTAAGGAACAAAAAAAAACAAATAAAAAATCCTCCTACTGGCTATTAACGGCCCTTTTTTCAATATTTAGCGTGACAGTCATTTATTTTGCATCACATAATCTGCAGCCATCCACTCATTTGTTGGCTTTCTGTTCCCACTCATTCACCATTCAGGGTCACTGGTAACTGTGTGCAGGTCTTGGTGATTTGCTGCTTGAATGTTAGACCAACAATAACAGAGCCGAAGCTGCTGACGTGAAGGCGAAGCAAGTTCACCGCTTGTTACCCCGTCAGTCTGAAGAGTCAACTGCTTAGCACAAGCCATCAAACAGGAGGTCCACTCAGTTAACTCAGAACTTTTTGTTTTTACAAAGATTTTTCAGGTTGCAATGAAATCATCAGCCTGTTTATGTAACACCACATATCCACACAGGTGTAGAGTGTGTGCAAAAAACATCCTACTTTGGTGTGTTTAGGGTATGGTTCAGATGAATTTGTGAGATCATGTAAAACAAATGGTCAGACAGCTGATACATGTGGAGCAGACGCACACAGATTAGAACTGTTGCCATCAGCAAATATGTGGACAATTTTCCAGAGCAGATTGTAAACTCTTAATAATGTGAGCATCAACATGTCTCTGTGATCCATCGGAGGCAGTGAGGATCTCCAAAGCAGGAAGCTTTTATATGGTAATGAATTCGATTGGAGCGATGCGCGCACCAATCAGGAGCGTTTGATTTATGTTTAAGGGACTGTTGAGGGGAGCAGTCGCTTGGCAACCGCCTAATGAAATGTACGAGCCGTGGCTATTAAAAATAGCGACCTTAGAAACCTCTCTGCCCCATGATGCGGCTATTTCCAAAGACGCTGGGCTGGTGTGAAGAGAAAAAAACGCGCGATTAAAACCGATTCTCGCAGCCGTCTGGTTTGGATGATGTTGGAGTCAGACGTGTGACAGACTCGTTGGACTGGAGCGTCGTGATTCAGATTTAAAAAAAAAAAAAAAAAAAAGCTTTTCACACGCAGCTGTCAATGCTTTTTAAGTCACTATCATATTAATCCTCAATAGCCGTGTTAACGCGCGTGTGCGTGACGATCAGTCAGAATGCGAGGATCCTGATCTGTCCTGCAGGAGCCAACAATGGATGAGCACCGCTCCTTCAGAGCTGAGAAAAGACGTGACATCGGTAGCCCACACACTGAAAAAAGATTTCAGTCTCAGCAAGTCGAGTGTCTCAGGAAATGTGGCGAAAAGGGTTGAATGGTGGCCTATAGAAATGACATTTAATTCAAGAAAACTGGCAGATGTTTGCTGGAGTCAAGTACAATGATCTGAATGCACTCGCTTTTCCAGTTACTTTAGAGAAAAGAAAAAATCATTGGGTTTAAAAGACAGCTGCATGAAAAGAACTAGCAGGATCGATATTTTGCAGTGTAGTCTGTTTGATCTCTGAATCTGAAGGAATGAAAATGGGATGGATGTGACTGACTGTTACTGTGGAAACCAACTTTCCCCTGCCTACACGTTCATCCTCAACTAGCAGCTCACTGTCTCGATGTGTTTGCTGACAGAATGTAGATTAGACAGCCCCGATCGTTTCCATCCTAACAGCTGATAACATTTACCCAAACTCGTGTGGTCAACAAAGCAAAACGAGGGGAAAAGCTACCATCAATGAAAGATTGCAGAAAAGCTATGTTCAGTTTATTTTTTTTAAAGACTGGAAATATATTTGTGACTTACAGCAATTGGTAACGGCAAAGCTGTTCGCCACTTCCAGATTGTCAATGTGAGGCGTCAGTCTGAATTCCGAGGTGCCAAACTGAACCATTCCTATCCGAAATGCGCTGTACTCTTGATCCGCGCCCCTTGGAAAAAGTCCCCCTGAAATCAACGCAAAATATCAATTACACTTGCAAAAATCTAAATGGTAATACACATTTTCAAGCAAATTTTCAGGATTTTACGCACAGAAGTGTTTTCAGCTAATTCGCCTTTTCCTTTAAACTAACAGCTACTTACCAATCTGAACACTGGGTGAGCCTCCAAGTGCGCATCCCCATAAAACCAGGAGAACTGAAACGGATAAATTCACTATCTTTTCCATGTCCACAGTTTAGGTGTCCACATCCACCAGGGGAGTCTGTTATTCCTCTTTCTCTCCAGAGATGTTAGATCCGACACATATTGGAGACCTTCAATCTTGCTGAGAGAAAAAATGAAACTGCATAAAGGACCGTTTTCTGCAGGTGGCTGTAGCAGTGAAAGGACACGAGCAGTGAAGGAATGGTCGCTTGCAATGTAGGTCTGCTGTTTCTTCCTCCGCTCCTCCTCGTCGCTCCTCTCCAGCCGGCAGCTGATACCTCCTCTAAACGCACAGGGACACTGCGCGTCTCCGCTCGGCGCGCCGGAGATCTTCTCAGCATCACACCCACAAGTGAGGAATGTTAATGAGAAGGCGGACAGAGACGAAAAGAGCCGAGAGTCATCCACTTGGTGACAAGAGTGCGCCCTGCGCTTTGAATATATGACCACGGATGCTGTAGCCTAAAAGAGTCTGTGCTTTGTTTTACAAGCTTCAGTCTGCAGCATGAAAGCATGAAATCCTCGAGTGTTGTTAATTCAACACATCCTAGTGTCTTTATTCGAAGCTTTCTTTTTGGAGAACCATTTATCAAAGGTGTTTGTCAGAGGAAAAAAAGTAATATTTTAGAAAATCGCCTTCCGCACTCAACTTTTGTTAAGTGAACTGGACATTACTTCCTTATTGGAGTCAATGTTCCAATACAACGACCAACAAGGAGCAGATTCTAGAACCATTTTGAGAATTTCATATGTGTTTGCACCTCAGCAACCCAGGAGCACACTTTCACAGTGTCCTCAATCCCTGACTGTATGTAATCTGATTACTTCGGATCTCAGACATTTGACTGATGCCCCGTACAAAGTTTGATTTGATGCACTCAAACAACATGGAACAGCTTAATAGGTATTAAGTTTTCAATGCAGCAAATGGAGAAGCTTGACCAAAGTGTTTGTGTCATGTTTGCATGAAAAATGCATGAACCGATAAATTGATGATCAAAACTGTTGATTGACTTTTAGTCTATCTGTGTTTAGTTCTGAGTGATCAGGGAGGCAAACATTCTCTCAAGACTCATTCAAGAGCTCAGATGGATTTTGGAACCAAGAGTAGCTCCTGCATGGATTAGACCTTTGACCTTAAAACAGTGTACATGTGTCCTTAGTGTGCCTTCATCAGAGCACCACAGCTGTAGCAGCAGCATAAAAACAACAATGTATTCCACATTTAATAAGTTCAAAAGTTTATTTTGTATAGTGACACAGAAAAATGTATGCTTTAATCTTAATTCATCAAGAGCAATATAAAGAGTTATTTAAGAGTCTGCAATTCATTTTAATGTAATTATTTCATTAAGAGTGTTTGGATAACTGACAAATATCAGACACACAACATCTCCTACATGTACAGACTGAGACCCTTTAATGTTTTTGGTGGCTTGGAAGGCAAGCCTCCTCTAAACCATGTGAAAGGCCAACACTTCTTATTGAGAAAACTCATCAAGTGCATCAGCTGGAGACCATCACTCATGCCCTCCAGGAAAAACCATCAAATGAATCTCCTCTTTAACTTTGATCTAGTGCTTATTTCCACCCTCTGCATACAAATGCAATGCAAATATATGCCTGGTCCTGGCTGCCATTATGAATAGGGTTAAATGGAGGAGAGCTTGCCTCACAGCCAGCAGGAAATAAGTGGCAATCCTGTCCCCTGATTTTATGATATGCATATCTCAGCCTGCACCGACAGATGTATATTAATCATCGGCGGTGTGAGATAGCAGTCTGGGAGCAAACTAATGAGGCTGAGAGTGAGTGGGAGCGGAGGGTGGTGGCAGCTAGAAGCAACAGTTTGTCAGATTTCAGCACCACGGACAGCACATCGCATTTAACACCGGCTCCTGTGGAGATCACGCTGTAGCTCCATGAGAGCACATAAGGCAAGAACAGATCCAAAATGTTACACCTTAGATCTTGTTTTCTTCATTTTACCCATCGTTTCAATCGATTATGATGATTCACTGAAGTGACTTCTAAAATCTGGGAGCAGGGCTTGTAAGGTATGATAGAGCCATAAATATGAGTAGACACATCCTCAGGAAGGTCTTCAAAGGGTCAGCCAGCTTTTCTCCAACCACTTTAAGATAAAATACAACAATTGAAAGTACCTGAAGTGTCTACAAGAAGCATCCTGGGCTGGAAGTGAGGTTGAAATCTGGGTTGTAATTTAGAATTTTGCATTCTTCAATAATAATCTCAGGATGTTTACTTAGAAATAACTATTTTACTTGGCACTGATTACAAGCCAAAGCCTCACAAGTACAACAGTTAAGTCATCCTAACAGTAGCCAGTCAGTTTTACCAATTAAAACTGACATTTTAATTAAATTGTTGCTCTTTTTTCAATTGGAATTTCAAAACCAGACATGTAAAATATTTGACCTCTTTATTAAAAGCAAAAACCTGACTGACAAAATGTGTTCGGACCCTTTTAACCCCTAAATCTGGATCTAAGAAAGACTGCTGGAGAAAATATACATTTAACATATATTCATTGTCTGAAACTTTACAGTAGAGTTAACAAATGTTAAGCCGGCTGTTCACAAACTAGACGACTGTATGTTTCACAAGAAGCTAGTTGGCATGAATTAATTAAGTGATAACTGAGTGTTGCATCTTTTTTGCATGTATTTAATAGCAAGTTATATAGGTTGTAGTGGGCTGCAAGGTGGCGCAGTTGGGTAGCACTGTTGCCTCGCAGCCAGAAGGTCGCTGGTTCGCGTCCCGGTGGAGTTTACATGTTCTCCCCGTGCAGTGTGGGTTCTCTCCAGGTTCGCCGGCTTCCTCCCACACTGTCCAAAAACATGTTGAGGTTATTTGGTGATTCTAAATTGTCCGTAGGTGTGAATGTGAGTGTGCTTGGTTGTCTGTCTCTAAGTGTAGCCCTGTTATAGACTGGTGACCTGTCCAGGGTGTCTCCTGTCTTCACCCTAAGTCAGCTGGGATAGACTCCAGCCCCCCCGCGACCCTAGTGAGGATTAAGGGGTGTATAGATAATGGATGGATGGATAGTTTGTAGACCACAGTAAAACAATGTCACCTATGATTTTAAGTTCTTTTGATTACAGACCACAACATACTGCATCATTATGTTGTGCTGCAAGTGATGGTGTACCATGACAATATTTACTGATACATGCATGTAGATACTGGGAAACAAGATGTAAGGTTATGGAATAAGTAGTTATTCACTTGTTACAGGGTATGTATGACCCACAGAGTAATAATCTAAACATTTATTTATATCATTGATGGGTAATTACTGGATATCTACCCATGGGAACTACACAAAATAAACTACTTTGCTTTCTCATGTTATATAGAAATCCTCTTTCCGGCAAAATAAATAGCGCACTCAACTACTTGTGTTTCACAGGCTCACATATGTTCATCAGTTTGACCTTGTCTGGAGGTTCTGCCATGCATGAATTCACGCTGCTGCAGCTCGGCTGAAATGCAATTTCAGTTTGATTATCTTACAGCACATTTCGCAATGTACTAAATTTGCAGCCTGTGAGATAATTTAACTGTGACACGGCTGCAAAGAGTCCTAATGAGTTTTTAAGGCTGGAATGAGAGTAGCTCATAATCAAATCATGACCCCGCCGGCTGTGTAAGAATGTTTACCTTTGTGTCAGTTAAACCACAAGAGTGAGGTGGAAATTTTATGCATGCTAATGAAACGAAATTCAACAAATTCAACACCACGTGGCCCGTAGAGTGAAAAGCTGGTTGTAAAAAAAAGAGCAAAAACAAAAGTCAATGACCTTTAGGGAAACGTTTAACCACTCAGGTTTATGTGTCCCAGAAATGCTGCTCGAGTATTTACATTTCTGGCATTTAGTTGGTGCTCTTATCTGGAGAGGCTTACAATGGCTAGCATTTTAATATCTCACTCATGGTCACTTCAGCTAGAAACTTAGCTCGTGATGGACAAACACTGGCTGGGATCTGACACATGACCTTTCAGTAACAGAATATTTATTTTTTTATTATTTTCTATAGCTTCCTTCAACAATATGTAGGTGTTGTCTCCGCTATCAATTATCTGGCTGTATTTTTTTCTGTTTTATTCCACATTTTTAAATTATCTTCCACGGTTAGGCTGACCTTTAAAAATGGGTTTGTAGAGAACCTCAAGAGATTTGCAACCCTACATTTTTAACCAAATACTAAATAGAAATTGGGTGAATCCGCTTGGGTAAATAGATAATAAAAGGCCCAAAGACTCCACAGAGCAACATGAATTCTTACGTTCTATCTCATAACTTAGAAATGATTTCTATGAATGTGCAGCTGTGTTCCACTAGTTTCTCCTAATTTTCTTCCGGATGGCTGCGGACTGTTGCAGCTAAGCGAGAAGCGAGGGAGACAGTTCAGACATGGCTGCACTTAAACACAGTGCTGTCGGATTCATAAATATGAGAGAGAGCTTCCCATCCAGCTCAACCACATTTCTATTGAGAAGACCTGGGTTTAAAATGGTGAGGCGACAGTCTCCACCACCAAGCCAGCATGCCGCCCCCAGGCTACCTTGTGCAGTGTGAAAAATTAAACACTAACAGACAGAGGAAGTGTTCCAAGACCACAACTAGACAACACGCTGTAAGATAGTAAATATATCACTGGAAAGAGTGCGTGCAATGTCTGAGCAATCAAAAAGAAAATAGTAATTTCTTCGTGCAATGTTCATTTTGATCTATTGTACACTTGTGTGGCAACTTGATCAAAGTGAACATCTACAAAACTTCGCTATGTGTGGATTTTTTTTATCATCGAGTGGAAACACAGATGCCAAGTGCACCATGCTATTAATCAGCTGAGCTACACACAGAATGCATTTAGAATAGCAGATTACGTCAACTACAGACCAGCAGAACAGAGATGAGGAACATCGAGAACGCCTGTCAAACATCATCATCAGCCATGTTTACAGGATTTATTTTTATTTGTACAAAAAAAAGCATTTCACAGTATTCCCTTACTTGCGACTAACTCTAAGAATTGCACTTAGAAGCTGTGACTGACATTTAAAAAACAAAAAATAGAACAAATGTAGCATGAAAACCAACAACAACTAATTATTTCATTCTTTTTTTGGCAACACTTGAGCGATTCTCTGCCATTTGAACAGAAAATGGAAAACAGCAGCGTCTCCACGACTGGAGGGCCGTTTGAGCCTACAGTAGAGAGGCGATGCGAATACAGAACAAGGCCTTTAGACGCACAGAAGTTGCTAAGCCAAGCATATCCTGCCATTAGAACAGTTTTGGGGAGTTAAACCTGCAGGGATTGGTCCCAAGGTCGCAAAGAGTGCTGAGACTGGACACTTTGGCTGCATCAGCTTGCGTCAATAGCTTTCAATCCATACGGTTGTGCACTGAGCTGCTTTTATATCTGACCTCTAGAACACTGCTTCAGCCTCGGATCATATGAGAGGTTCCAAAGTAATAACCTAAAACCCACTCTGTCCGTGTGTAGTCTGTATCAAAGCGATGGCTTTAAAGGGTGTTATCAAGGGGAAATAATCAAAGGTTTATATTTAAGTCATGAGTCACATTTCCTTTAAAATAAATAAATAAATAAATAAGTAAATAAAAAATAGCATAGCGTTGCTACATTTGGTTGGATTTTTGTGCTCAAACGAGGCTCCCTGGTGTGAAAGTGCAACATGAAGAGGTGTTAGGCTGTTAGGCGTTCAGGAAGAGGATTGATTCATAGATAAATAACAAATTCATTGATCTGACTAAAAGACAACTGTTAGACGTTTGCCTTTTGGCTTGTACTGTTGCACATAGAGAGATCTTTTCTGAGTGCATTGTTCCTGTCAAAAAAGAAATAACAAAAAAAAGTTAGAGAAAAGACACGACACTTTGTAGAGCCAATAATATAATAACAGTCAATGATGTGATGTGGCCGATAACGTAATAAACTTGCACTTTTTAAAATGTAATAGGCCAGTAACGTAATAAAGGTCTTTAACCAATAATGTAATATCTTTTGACTAATAACATAATTAGTTATTATGTTATTTGCCCGGTAAAAAAAAAAAAAAAAATCTTTGCAAATGTAATAACCAGCCAATAACGTAATAAGTTATTAGGTTGTGGGTTCAGGACTTTTATTACATCGTTGGCCAGTTATTACCTTATTGGCCTATTCAATTTTAAAAATGGCAAATTTATTACATTCTACACACTTGAAAGCAAAGCATTTGGTTCCAGGACAAATGAGATACATGGATGATGTTTCCAACAGTCTGAACTGAGTATTTTACGTCTTGGATTCTGTTTCCTCCTGTCCCTTACTAATGATGAATCCTCTTGAAATTCTTGCTGCTTGAGTGTTTCCATGTTTCCATCTGAACAGCGATTGTTTTATGATACACATCAATTTAAAATATCAATTTCAAAACCAATATGCAAATGCAAAAAGCAACAATGGATGCTTGAAAATAATCAAGTGGTGTAGAATTGAAAATTGGATTATAATTAAGGAACCTGCATCTTCAATATGTAGTCTAGCTTATTTTATGCTCATTTAACTTCTATTCTTTATTTATTTTTTCTTCCATTCCCTCCTCTCTATTTCCTCCACTATCAGGCTTCTCTGATTTGATAGTATTTCACCTTCACCATTCCATCCCCGTCCCTCTTCACTCTCTCTTTTCTCTGGTTTGCGCAGAACTAACGTTAATGACAGGACCCACGGTCATGGCCGTTTTACAGATTGGTTCAGTCTGGCTGGAACTAAGCTTTTCGCCACTTTGACCCCCGACAGCAAATGGCATCCTCCACACTTTCTAGGCTTCCGCATTTACAGGCCTGCCAAAAAATCTTCCGCCACACGGCCACGGTGCCTGTGAGGGTTCTGGAAAATTGTAGCTGACCTGAAAATTTGCTGTGGCATCTGGAGAAAAAAAAAAAAACAAGCTATGTTTCAGGTTTCAGCCGAAAAATAGCTAAAAACGAAAAAAAAGAAATAAGTAAACAAACAACCAGAAAACATGTACACAGGGGATGTATATAAAGCGTGTGCCTACTGTTCTTCACTTTAATCACTTTACCATTTAACTCTGGATATGATTCTATGACATGCCAATTTTATAGATTATGATTTTAATGCTGATCATGACAATAGATGGTGGCAGAGATGCTATTTTCCTAACAAGAAAATCATTATTTACAATGCATTTCTTTTATCTTAGGCCTTGGAGACAGTTGTAAACACCCGACACTGATGTGTGAAAGCCTTATTCGCAGTAAACGAGCTTCCAATAAGCCTCGTGGCCTCTCCTCCCCTACTGTTTCTCCACTAATCATTGCCTGACTGTCATGGTGGTTGTCTTGGTGGCTTGGGTGGGTGCCTGGTGAGAGGTCATGTTGGATTAGAAAGCACCCTGTGTGATATAGGTTACAGCACTGTGCTAGTAGCAGGGTGCTGGGGTGCGGGGGTGGAGCGTGCACACACATGTACACAACACACACACACACACACACACACACACACACACACACACCACATAATCAAAGAAACACATGAGCCACACCTGCATTTGATACATCTACTGTCCTGATGCGATGAATATAATCATGAAATGCTTTAACATCGTTGCCTTTCATCACTGGTGACCTATTATAGGATGCTTATTGTAAGGTTTTGTATAATTTAGTGCAGATAGCAGACTCAGTTAATAGCCTGAGATGTAAAATGTGCAAAATTTACAAAAAAAATTACGAACAATATGTTTAACATCATGTCAGAGCCTCAAAAAGTTTTTGATATTTTTAGTTTAATGTACTATCATCACTATAAATCAACTTAAAATCATGGTTTCTGTAGAAAGCAAGAGGAAATGTCGAGTGCATATACCTGTATTATAGCAAAAATCTGCCTCCTTATCCTGGCAGTGCCACCACCATCCTGTCCACAGGACCTGGCATTACATCTGTTTTTCTCCCAGGAGGGCGTTTTATCTCCTCATTACACTAAACAAATATGGAAGTGGCCATTGGGGGGCACTGCAATGCAAAATCTCCCTCTGTTGAGATTCAGTGGGAGCTGAAATGAGCGCTCAGATCTGTGGAGATTAACCACAAACGCAAATATTTTCATTGATGTGTAACACATGTACTTCTCTTGATGACTCAAGTCTCATCTGCAAAGTAAGAGGTTGTTTCCACCTGATTCTAGTCTCTGTCTGACTTCCATTCTGTGTCACACGCTGGGATTTTGTAGTGACAGACAAAAATTCTTTCCCGTGTCTGTAACCATGGCAGCCACAGAGAAAGAGAGGAAAAAAAAAAAAAAGTCTTGTTTTCTCATTTTGTGCTAACCAGAAAGAAAAAGAAAAAAAAGAGTCACAGCAATGACAATTTCGTTCTCCTTTGCATGAGCAATTCTGGCCCAAACGGCTTCAAACTTCATTAATATGACCCTATTGTCATGCCATGAGGTCGGCATCTATCTTGCTTCATTAAGCCGCAGACAGATTTCATATGAGGAGTCTCACAATGATAGTCAGGGGTCATTTTCTAAGCAGGTTTGTATGAATAATTGATGGCTGGTTTGGCAGATTAGGAGAGGTCAAGCCTCTGTGGAAGAAACAGCTGTTGTGTGATGTGCAGGATGCACATGGACGGAGCAAAGGGGAAGATGCTGCAAATACACTGTTTTTGTCCCATTGTAAGTCAGTTCCAATAGAGGCGACCAAGCTGGGTGTGAATCAACAAAAGAGCGAAAAACCGAAACCTTATCGCTGCTTTCTTACTGTTTCCTGTAGAGCAACACAAATGATGCACACTGTTAAATTCAAAGCTTTGACTTTACTTTTAATCACATCAAATGGTGAAACATCATTTGATCGTTTGTTGTAAATTTCACAAACACATGGCCACAGTTCACTGGTGACCCATTTACGCACGCTACAGGTGAAAAGTGTCAAACGTTACATTTGGTGGAGGAGTGGCAGTGTCACATGACCATCTGGACAGGAACAGGAGTGTTTCACGTATCCACATATCTTCTCGAGAGCAAATAATAAATATAATAAATTTAATAAATACTTTTTTTTATATATATATATATTTATGCTTTATCTTCATATACATGCAGCATTTTTTTTTAACATGCGAGGTAATTACAATGTTACACTTTGCATTGAAGCTTGAATAAAACGCTTTAACTCATTGAACTTGTGAGCACACTCCCACTGGGCGAGGGGCGAGAAATCAAATACCTATTTACAAATGCTCTTCTATAGATCTTTTCAGCTCCGTTCATACGCAATCGGTCTTTGTGGATATGTTTACACACCAATTAGTACAGTTATATCTGCTATCCTGTATTCGCCTTTCAAGTACCACTATTAATAAATTAAGTATTTGAAAACAAGATGCTATATATATATCGATTGTAGGAAAGATAAGAAATATTGATTTGTAATCATTTGTTAATACTCAAATAACGAGTGTTGTCTTTTTTATGTGAAGAGAAATATGATAATACTAATAACAACACATGGTAGTTCTTTGTTTTTCTCAGCAGTCGTTTTGTGTGAAATCACATTTGTAATATTCACTTTGGAGGCTTGGAATGTGATCTGATCAATAACAGATTCATGAGAGTGAGGGGGTTAATAATACGAGATAATTTCAAGATAATCACAAGTATATGGACCAGTAAATCACATTAAAGAAGAGGAAGGAGAAAGGGAACAGGGCTCTGGCGTAAAGGTCAACTCTTTTGGCAGCAGAGGGGATGACTGGTTTGGGAGGAGGAGGTTTCTTGTTGTTCTTAGCCTGGGATTTGCCATGACCCGAGCCAGTGTCGATGGGCTTCCCATAGCAGTCAAAGTTTGACAGTTCAAAGTCCCGTGGGAGCGAGCCCACAATGCTGAAGTCATTGGTCCGCAGGTCCGACTTAGAAGTGCACACCTTCTTGCAGCGGGTCTCGGCCACCTGGGTGCAAGAGACAGTCACGGAGGAGACAGAGCAGGCTGATTAATACATTCTGCATTATTTCATTCCAAAGTGCATTTATTTATGTGAAACACATGAGGTAAGATGAGATTCTAGGAATACTCTGAAAGTGCTGCTGGCAGCCCTTGAGGCAGAGTAGCCGAACCAAAGTGGTATAAAACTGGTTGACTGAGCAACAGACAGACTTTGCAGTCCATAGAGGCTTACATTACTCTACAGGTAATAGAAAGATTATTCAATCCTGCACATCACACTCCAGTTAAAAGTGTCTCTACTCCTCATGCAGCACTCTACAGGACGACGGTATAAATTAAACAAAGGTGGGTGCAGATTTCAAACAATAGAAGAAGTGACGCATTTTACCGACACTCGTGAGATTTGGACTCAGGTAAAGTTGGACAGAGCAGACAGAACACATCTGCGACCTTCGATTAACTCATTTTGCACATTCTGTTCTCATGCCTGGTTGTCACCAAGCTCAGTTCTTATTGCCCAATCTGTCACTCTCCACTTGTTCAGTAGCTGCCATCAGTGTTTTCCAATCACCTCCTGTCACCTGAGCCCCATATCCACATGCACACCTGCCTCTCATTCCTTTATCTTTCACCCAGTAGTCGCCCCCTTTTCTCTCCCTCTCATGATTGTGCTTGGAAGCCTTCGCTTTCCAGATCTTGGAGCAGTTCCTGCCTTCCTGTTTCACACCTGCCTTTTTCATGTTTGTTTGCGTTAGCCTTTGCTGATTTACTACTTGTTTGCGACTTTGGCTCAGAAACCCGACTAAGTAAACATCCTTTGAATGCATTTTCAACCACAAGCTTGTCATCAGGGCAATACAAGAGTGTAAACCTCGGTCTATTCCCTCTAATTTCTCCTGTCTAGAAACATTACATGACACAAACAATGGAAAATCAATCAATCAACCGTTCCACTTAACGCATGCAAATTCAGAGACACGAGCGCTGCATTGTTAAACGAAGTAAAGCCCTGTTCACTGTTTCCCCATCCTCCATCTTAGAGCAGAGATGTCGTCATTCCTTTGTAGAATTCGCATCATATCCATTTATTTTTGTCCCCTCATTCTACCTCTCAGTCTCTTCAACAGGTAAATCCACTGCATGCATGTACAGACACCTAAATGCGTCAATGTGCACATAAGAACACAACAGATGGCACCGACAGGCGCTGCTGACTGAGCATTTTCTTGAAAACACACACACAGATTAGGTGCTCTGACAAGGTAAATTGTATTTCAACAGACGATGGCTGCAGAGAAAAGGTGTAGACGCTTCTTCTATTACAAAATGTAGTTGCTGGTTAACATCCATGTTCTTATTATAGGTGAATTAACTGCACAAATCTTCATTAAACAGATCTGACTCCAACTATGTTGCATTAGCAAAAATATAACTGAACGCTCCATTTATTCTGACACATAAAACACATATACTATAACTGTGATGTTACATCCACACTACATGTAAGTTTTGTCTCAGCTGAAAGCAACATTCAAATGAGGATGTTTAATATGGTTGGATTCAATTGAAAACAGACTACACTTTGAAGACACAGTAAAGGTTTGTTTGATCCCGAAGCTTGGACAGAACTCTGCTGATAAATCAAAACTACTGCTATTTTAAGAGGAAAAAAAAAAAGCTTTGGAGCCAAAATTAGATTTACTTTGTACTCCACAATGTTGCCTAATATGGTTGTTCTCTCATCTGGGGTCTTGTAACCCCATCTACACCCTCTACATGCTATCCCAACCTGTGCTTATATGAAACAATCTGCAGACGGATTTGGTTTAATGTCATCCAAAAAATCCCTTTCATCGACTTCCCTGAAGGCCCGCGGGGTGAACAGGATCTAATCAGTCTATGGATGCTTACTCACTGAAGTCATTAAGCTCATTAAAGCTTCATTATTTTGATTTGGTTTTGACAAGAAAACCCATTAAACCTCAATGGAATAATGTAATCCTCGCAAACCAAATGTGGTTCGGACTAACATAGATTCAGAGGTAAATTAATTTCAATTAGGCATACAATTGGAAGGGCCCGTGCAACATCCTGTTTGCCTGATGGCATGCATGTGAGTGTTAGACTTGAGCCCTGACTGAGCTGTGTGTATTTGCGTGTCAAAGACAATGCCAATTTTTAATGACTGGATGTCCCTGTTTTGCATGTAGATTGGATCTCGGTGCCTCAGAGTTACAAAACTACCAGGGGACGTCGGATCTGGAGTTTGTATTCTGGCATCCTCCTGTGTTGCTGTGGATATCTGGTTATACAGAATCACACATAGCTACACAGGCATTCAGCACCCACTCAAATCAACAAAAATGGGCCATCTTTAAAATGTTTTGGTGATTTATTGGAGAATCAGTATCCAAGGGGAACACATTTAGGATTTTGCTATGGATATGATCGTTATCGATCACACAAGATCTGCTTCCAGGCGGAATGCATCTGAAGTTGAGTCACACATGGCATAAACTATCCTTGATCTTATCCCGATGGCTGATGCAGTTATTAAACCCTACAGCATGAACACTCCCAGGTTTCATGGGGTCAGAGAGCTGTTGGCTACACCACATGCCCACTGTTTGCTTGTTGCACTAAGTCATGCTGCTTTAGCTGCAGTTAAGGAAACAATAAGGAGGAAGACCTGATGTAGAAGATAAAGCTTCATTTTGTTTTGATAAATTAGATTTTTGGCATTTTGTGGGAAATCTGTAGGACAACAAAGATCCGTGACTGGAAATGAACGGAGGATACAAAATAGAAAAACTGCTGATAATCTTGTGTCTCCACATTCTGGTTTGATTTCATCAAGATGTACGTTAATTCATGCAGTGCAGTAATGGTGGCAAACATAAACGCTCATTAAAGGCATAAAACCAGATTCACTGACATGCAAGGTGCTGACATGAAGCGGCGTCCCTCCGGTCCCGTTGACCGTGTTGTTCTTGGCGGCGGGGCTCTTTCCCGCAGCTTTCTCCTTAGATGCCATCTTGGCCTTCTCTGCCTCTATGCGCTTTGGGCTGTTGAGCATCACTTGAACCACAGCGTACTCCACCAGCGAGGCGAAACCAAACAGCAGGCAAGCAATGAGCCAGATGTCGATGGCCTTGACGTAGGACACTTTTGGCAGCTCCGACGCCAAGGAGGTGCACTCGGAAGACAGAGAGAGCACCGAGAGGATGCCTGTGTGGAGACAGAGCACAAGTAACCTTGTCAGTCATCGAAATGAGGGAAAGACCAGCCGCTGACATTTGTCTTAGTTGATCCACAAGTGGAGTGTGAATGCACCCAAGACGCACTGAGGTCTCGATCGATCACGCCACATTGGGAGGAGGTCTGGCCTGCAGGCGGCCACATCCTTTTAGCAGCGTGTATGCTAATGTGTCCTGGGTCACACTGAAGGACTAATCAGCTGACGTTGTCTTTGCATAAGCGGAAGTATGTACTCTGCAGCAACAGCATCACATTAGAGAGCAACAGCAGGCAACAACAACAAAACGGCAAAATGGTCCTAGTTCTAGAATTCGCTATTGGATAGTACAACCTAAGTCATATTTTGATAGTAATGCAGTTCTTTTGTTTTATTATTTTCTTGTATTATTTTTAATAAAATAAGTCATATTTTAGTAGTGAAGACCTTTAGGCACAAAATAAACTAATTTTATCAAATGCAGTTCTTTTCCCTTAACACAAGCAGTCATCCCAACCCAAATTAAACAAGTTTAACTTTATAAAAACTGTATCTGATCAAAGAATGCACAAAGCAAAACAAATATGATGAGACCGGTCATGTCAGCTTTTAGTACTACACAGTTTATTATACTTGGTGCTATGGAAACAATTTGGTTGGTGCCAAAAAAGATTTGAGGATTATTTAAGTGCAAGCATGAAATAGTCCTTCTTGTGTAGTCTAGATGTTTGTTTCCACTTAAATGCATTTAATCAACTCACTGCTGAGACAAACAAAACTGATGCGTTTAGGTCAATGCAAAAAAAATAAAAATAATAATAATAATTTGAATAAATTAATCTGCCAATCTGAAAAAAAAAAAAGCTGTAACAAAATGCACACGTCTACAAAGGCTTTCTGAGAACATGACTGCAATTAGGCTTCATGACTCTTCATTTAGCTCTTTTATAAGGACATCTCCGTGAGCTCAGACAGCCTCTAATGAGAGAGTAATTTTAAATTGTTTTTATCTCAGATAGCCAACAGGATTACAGGTTAGAGATTTCCCCTCCACAGCAGCAGCTCTGTCAGGCTACAGCAGAAATAATTACAGCAGCTCTTAGGAGGCTATTCTAACAACCAATGAAGGGCTTCACACTCTTTTTCTTGCAGTAATGCTGCTTCAGAGAGACAATAAACGCGTAGAAAAGACCAATGGGTTTTGCTTCCAGGTCTCATTACAGCCACTCATCAAGGAGGGGGTCATAGAGCGTTCAGGAGTTCTAATCAAATCGCTCCTTCCTCCCAAGAATGAACCTTAATGAGAGAATACTGGAAGTCCACATATTATACAAGAACAGATACAGACGTGAAAGGTGGCAATATTAAAAAAAAAAAAATATATATATATATATATATATAATAACAATAATAAAAAGAAGCTTTGTCTTCCTTTGGTTAGCTTTGATGAAATCAGCTGCTCGTACAAAGTAAGGCTTTATAGCAGACATAAAGCATGAGCATCCTGTGTTTCTACTATGTCATGGTAAACTATTTTTTCACTGTTTTACTGTTCGTGTTACACGTATGTCTAGATCTGAGTGGGAAAATACTGAGCATACATACACATACACATTCTCAGTTAAATGAACACATGGATGGGCAGCTGCACATGCACACTGACACGCAAACACGCATGAATGTTAGGCACACACACACACACACACACACAGAGCGTAGCAAAATAAATGCAAGTGGTCTCACACCTGGGTGCCGACTGACCTGGACTGATCCCATTTAGAGAGAAGTCAGAGGAGGATCCCAGGAGTTGGAGTGGTGATGGAATGGAAGTGGTGATAGGGAACTGGAGGGAGGATGGAAGACTGAAGTGGGATAACAATGAATTATCTTATCCATGCAGCCCTGTGCACACATACACACAAGTTCCAGTGTGATACTGTATGTGGCTGACACTGACATATTACACATGGGTTGAATTATGGAGGAGGAGGAGGAGGAGGAGGAAAAACAATGTGGAAACAAATGGACATTTTTCTAGCAAGCACAAGATGAGCCTCCATATAGGTAATATATGAATATGTATAAAGGAAAAACAATAATATTAAGGTGTCATGGCCACTATTTCTTCATGAAATATTATATCCCACAGGGCAATTTTCTAAACAATACAGTCGTCAATTACATACTGAAGGCTCTGACGTACTTGGTGGTTTTGTCTGTATGCTTAGAGAAGTGCACAGTACTTAAACCCCAAGAAGCCAAAGAGGTGAATTAGAAGTAATATTTGGTAGTTGGTGGCTTCTCTTTATATTTCAATGACTAAAAATAGAAGAAAGGTGGAAATGAATGTGTGAAACAGTTTGTCTTGTGTAACATTAGCTCCAGCCTTTACCGTGTTTGGCGAACTGGCCGTGAGGTCATTGCTTAATAAAGGTTGTTTTTTTTCCCCATTGTGGTCCAAACAAAGTGTATAAACCTAGTTTAAGAGTTTTGTCCACTTTTCAAAGAGCTGAAACTGGGGCTGTGCTAACAACCAGCTCCGAGTTTGCTCATCTGGTTCTTACCTGTGATTGATTCGGTGCATCAACAGAGACACAACTCAGCTGAAGCACAACCAGGCCAGTATTATATCCCCCTTGGGACTCAGGCTAGTTTTTTTTTCGAGACCTTTTTCGGGCAAGACACATTGTGTGCTTTTCTGGTTTGGAGAAACTGCACTGCTCTTCATGCGCTTCAGCACATCCCTTTATTACTTGGGCTAATGGGGATCAGGTGTGCCTTGTTGACCAGCCGAATATCTTCTGAGCACCCAATGTCTCTTCAACACCTTGTTGCCCACAGTAATTAAGGGTTTAGTAGAAACAGAAGAGCCTGCACTTGATTCCAACAGTAAGCAGCCAAAAATTACCAAAATGTTATATTGGTATGGCAATGGAAATCTGAACAGACGTCACATCACAGTGTAATGGGAAAAATGGCCCCTTAATTTCAGTAACAGCAGTAGAAATCAGACCAATTACCTATCTGTTAAATCTAATTCAAAAACGTTTACATGGTACAACCTGCAAATAAATGCAGTTATTGCGCTGAAACATGGGTTTAAGTTCTTCTTGCACCACTGCAGTTGGTCCCATCTGTCAATTACAGCTATATTCAGTGATTTATCACATACACGGAAGCAGTGGACACGGCAACATGCTTGATAGATAAAGTCCTTCATGGTGTCAAAGTGATTGATTATGTCATAATAGAGATGATTGGGGCTACAATGTCAGTGATCCCTAAAGACATCCAGATCCTTTCGATTGGTTCCCATTCTGTACCTACAAATTTTACCCATGGCTGTCTTTTTTTTTTTTTTTACAACAGAAATCCTTTTAGACGGGAGTTTTAACGCCTAATTACCTCAATAACTCATACACTCTTACCTGCCCCTACTTGTGAACTAATGTCCAATCATACACTTGACACAGCGCAAGAAACATCTACAGATTTGGTGAACATCAGTGCAAGATGGCGGCATTGATGAAATCGTACATACCCAAAGGCACCCTGGCGGCACTCGCATCAGGGTTGATCCAGAAGGACAGCCAGGAGAGGACAACGATGAGCAGCGTGGGGGCGTAAACACCCATCATGTAGAAGCCAACTTGTCGCCTTAGGGTGAAGATAACCTCCACACAAGTGTAGTACCCTGGGTGGGTGAGGAAGGAGACAAATATTACAAAATGACTTCACTGAAACACAGTCTTGAAATTTTTAAAAGAAAAAAACAACAAACAAAGAAAGTGGAGAGTGGACAGCGGCATTATACATGACTATCCACCTCAAAAAAAAAAGACCTGAAGCTGTGACCCTTTCCTACATGAGACACTCTAATAAAATCTAAAGGCAGTTCCGAGATGTCTTGTAAAAATACGTTGGCCCATTATGACATTTTTAGTGCAGAAATGGGAACTTAGGAACATCCTGCCCCAGAACTGAAACAGAGCAGGTGAGAGAACTGGCCCTTTACTGACTTGCTCTATTAAAGCCACATTAGCCATTATGAGGAAAGGTGGGAGCCAGGTTAAGTCCTCTATCTGATCTGCCTCCCTGTGCCAAGGCACAAAGCAGAGCACAGCTGTGTGCACCATTAGTAATGGAGAAAACAACAGAGAAGAAAAAGGTCAGTGGGCATAAGGACTTTAACATCGTTTCACCTAACTCTGTTAAAGCTAAGACCTGTTTCAGCACTCAGGGCAGCACCTTAAAAAACACTGCTTCCACTTAATAATGTCCCAAATGTGTGCGTGACCTGGACTGGTCCCTTACCAGAAACTATTATGTTTGTAGATAAGAACCTTCTATTTTACAGTTTATATGTTTGATTTAACAGACCAAACTAGCAAACAGCTCTACTTGTACATTGTATTTTGTTTTGATCATTCATTTCTTCTGGAAATGCAGTCTTCATTAGTAACCAGAATGCAATAAGCATCCATAAATTCGAGACCTCGTTCCAGAAGTGCTGTGTTTCAGCTCATTGAGGCTTGTTGGTCGGTCCAATGGGATGGTAGAGTGGATGGGCTGAAGTAATATTTAACTAGCCCAGGGATCTCTGGAGCTTTTATGCTGCATATAAGGGCTGCCTGTGTCGCCAAAGCAGGCTCGAACCAGTCGTACACAGAGGTGATCTTTGTGTCTGGCCAGGTAGTCATGGCAACCAGTTAAAAGCCTGACTCATCGCCAACAGTGTGCCTCCCAAGTGCGAGAGCACTGAGGTCATACCAGCTCTGTTGGCTGATAGAGTTTTTCCATTTCATTGCGAATGTCATTTTCATTTCACATTCGTGTGAGTATGTGCATGGCACAGTACCAGAACCTCTTTTTTTGTAATTTTTTCTCTATTTATTAGAGGAGTAGTATTTTTAGCTGTGGTAGGTGGGAATATGAAAAGGGTGACGAGCTGTGCTTTGGTCTGAGTATGTTCAGTACATCCTAGCTACCTGGAAAGCTTCTACATGGCCACATAACAAAAAACCTTTATAATGGAAATCAGATGTCCAGTGCAAAGAGTGATGCATGCATCCTGACAACCCAGGAGCAAGCAATGTCTTTACGAGAAGGTCTAGTTCTGTTTGTATCATTGTTGTATGACAGAAAGACATACTTGCACACAGGTGAGCAGACGTGCACGATACATTAATGCTGTTGTCATTATATTCCACTCATGGACATTTAGTGCTGGTAACACATGAGGGGGTTAGTGCCAAAGTGGGCCAAACCACTTTTACTAGTTTTAGAGAAAAATGGGGTCAAAATTTTGTGTCGCCAAAAACACTCCTGGTTGTTGGAGGAGTCATGATATGCATCCAAAGATGTTTCAGCACTGTTCAGAGACAGAAACAACTACTATGTGAAGACTTATTTCAATTTTAATTTTGCCTTTCTTTGTGCTGAGTGCCAAAGTGGGCCATACCACATTTTTCTACTTTTTGAGAAAAAAATTGATTCAAGGTTTGTCTTGCTAAACAGCACTGAAGATGTTCCATGGGTCATCATAAGTAACTAAAGATACTTTTGAGGACCATGGGATAGAAATAGATGCTCTGTTGTGGTTAGTTAAGATGTTATTTTACCATATCATACCTACAAGTTGAGTTTTCATGGGGCTTGATGTCGCGCTGTCCGCCATCTTGAATCGCAAACAAGTGGAACTACCTTCGACAATATAATGGTCAGTGATTCCTGTGCCTTGGCCCAGTTTGCTACTAAATATTTATGCCAAAACCATTATGGGCCAAACTTCAAAGTCGCATTGTGACGTTACTAGTGGGCTGTTGGTTGGACCACTTTACCACAAACTAGTAGATCATAAACACTTATCAAAAAAACATTAAACTGAACTTTGGATTGTTTGTGGTTTGGCCCACTTTGGCACTGAACCCCTCAAATACATGTAGTAATGCACAGACAAAGGCAAGAAAACAACTGCAGGCAAATAACGAGGGACCATTTTGCAATGGTATCAAACCAATCTACGAACTTTGCCTTCATTTTGCTACACAACTGTAGTAGTTTCATGTCGGTGTGTTGTACAGCCATGACACCATCAGGCTGACAAAATCTGTGCACAGACTGAAAGACAAATGCCTGCTATACATGGATGTAAGCAACAGATGTCTAGACTGATAAAATGGTTAAAACTATGATTTTGTAAATGTTTGACGGGCGTGATGTTGCTCTAGAGTACCTCCTGCCTTTTATAAGGTGCGCTTTTATTTTGAAAGTCCTTGTTTTTTATTGGTTATCACAGTCATGTGATTACGTTCTCAGATCAGGGCAGCCAGCTTGTCTCTTTCTGGGTGACAATGTGCCTATGCCTTACAATCCATTGCATGTGTCGCTGTTGAGCCTTGGAGAAGCTTTGTTTGTAAGTTTATATTATACATCATATTTGTATAATTCATATTTTTCGAATGTTGTGATGGTTTATTTCATATTTGGCAAGATTTATAAGTTAATGCTAAAATTCGTATTTTTCTTGTATGTAACGTAGTCACTCATTTATAACACCTTTTTACGGACATTTTTCTGTATCTATTTTTAGTTTCACAAGAAGATTGTTTCTGGCATTGCCACGGTGACTGAGATCTTCAGTAAACGAACCTCAACTTGCTACACATCTCAGTCATCTTTCACTTTTCCAGGAACAAAGTGTTTAGCAAACGCAAAGAAATGCACAAAACAGACTTTTCTCAGTTCTGGTTGTACATGCTGCTTCACTGACACACCTGAACCGAATAGAAACTAAATGAATAATAGCATGATTACACCTGAGCTTCCTGCTTTGACAGCTCAATTGCAAGTCTACCATGACAAAGGTCTATACCTCTAAACTTGCATGTACTGTGATTTTTTCGTTCTAGCAAGTACCAGGTTAAGTGGAGAGGAGAAGATAAAAAAACATTCCTGGCATGATTGCATAAAGTTGCAATATTTCCAGAGTGACTTATGTCTCCTGATGTGTCCGTGCTCTCAGGTTGCTGTGTGATCATGTAATAAAATCACATCTCTGTTCAGGAAACTTCTACGTTGCGAAAAAAGTGTTAAAAAATGAAAACAGAAAAATTTACATGAAACAAAGATAGAACCTTAGACATACCTTCGGTCAGTTAGGAACATGCAACTGAAAATTGCTTGCTGTTTTCCAGCTTCTGATATTCCAGGATTTTTATTATGCAACTGCTGCAGCCTTAAACAAAATGTCCAATTGTTATTTGATCTACAGTAAAACCCATCTGAACGTGCTTTTGGTTTCATCATCTAATAAAAACACTAAACATCTGAGCAGAACGAGATAGCTTCAACTCAGATAGAATAATTAATGAACTGATTAAAGCCGAGTGCAAAGATGAACAACACTGATATTATTGCTGATACCAAAGTATCACAATAAGTTAAGTGGTTCAAAATACTTGGCTCGTGCTAGAGTTTTGAAGGATTTGCTGTTCTAACATGACTTCTTTTTCTTCTTTTAAAAAAAATTATATTTCAAGGGGGAAACATAGACGTATGACGAGGACAGTACCTGTTCCTGCGTAGTATTTGGTGCAGTTTCCATAATCAATATCTTCCTGTCTGATATCAAACTGTGGCAGAGCGATAGCATCCATCTGCACAGGATCTCCTGTCTGCCACATGAACTGCAGGTCGTCTGTCGTATACCCAACTGGAAAATGAAAGTACACAGGCACAAAAAACAATCAAATACTCTTGACATAAATATACATACATTGTACATATAAACATACTGTTTATGCCCACAGTACATGTTGCATGTTAATCACACTTGAGAGAAACATCCCAGTAGGAATAAATGTTGACCATAAATGCATGTAAAGACATGCAGAAAGCCATGCATCTCAGCATTACAGTAATGGCTTTAAGTTATTTTGCTTATTTAAGTCTAAACTGCTTTGTAAACAAGAAGCAATAGCCAGAGTCAAGCTCAATTAACTGCGAGACTCACAACAACCCTAAAATATGATGATTTATTCTACTTCTCTAAGTGTTTGCGGCTGAAATTGGCTTCTAAACACAAGCAAAAGGCTCTCGTTTACCCCAGAACCACTACTTTACAAAAACAACAAATATATTCCCAGCTCATAAATACTGTATATTCCAAATAACAACAAGCAAATATGTAAACCGTTGAGGTGCTTTAAAGTGGCGTTGATTCGGGAAAACTCACAGCTTTCGAGTTGCATTTTACATCTCTGTGTGTCCATGGGGAACAAGGTCAGATCAAGTGGACAGGAGAGAGTGACGGACAACCTGGAGGAGGATGACGGGAGGGAAAGTTTTACTATTTCATTCATGCTTTGCTTTAGTGTTCCTGCTCAATATACCTGAACACTTTCACATACACACAGTCCTTGTTTGTGTAACATCTAATAACTCTTGTTTCGAGTGATACATTTGCACTGAAAAAACAAAATACGCTCAAAATTACAGACACATGTCACCCCTGGAGACGACTGTAACTTAACACAGTCCTGTGTAGTTTCCACTGAGCCCTTTGATAGATAAAACATTTTACCAATTGTTATGCATTTCGGCAGTCTAATTATCTGTAGAGATTTCAGTTTTACAGCCTGCAGACTTGATCATTTTTTATTTATTTCTTCTTTATATATATATGTGTGTGTGTGTACATATAAAATAAACCCAGACATTAATCATAGAAATCTAAAGCACACAAGATTAAAACAGTAGTTACAGTTTTTCATTACAAAAGGAGCACACATTTTCTTTGATTACATGCACTAACACTTCAGCTGACAGTCCCGTGTAACCACGTCTGAATCCTATGATGCATTCAGTTTTGTTGATATTGATATAAGACATTTTTTGCACTTTTATGGAGCCAAATAATTCGAGGACTAAATGGCCATTTTGTTTTATTTGGTGCAACAATAATTCAACCTGACAAGACGTTCATGTTATTACGTTTCTTTTTGTTGTTTGTTTGGTAAGGGCGCTGTTTTAGCCTAACCATCAGCAGCAATAGGTGTTTCCATTGATCTCTTTCAGCTGACATGAAAGCTTCAGCTGCGAGGAGCAGTCGTGTCACTGATCATAGTTAGCTACATAAGAGGATGGCATTCTTGATGCTGACAACTCAGCTTTGATTTGTCAATTGTTCCTCTCACTGGGGTAAATAATGGAATCAGTCCCAGACCATCGATTCTACCGGGCTTATTTGCTGACTGAATCACTTGAACCCAATTCGAAGGTTTGGAGTGATGCACATTCTTTGGCCTCACAATAGAGCGAATATGTGAAAATGGGAAGTTTGATTCTAAGACGTTCTGAAATTCTTGAATGTGACACAAGTAAATCTTATGAATCATTTTGTTGAGGTGGAGTGATCTCTGTATCTGATCTTTGTGTGCTGGTTCTCTGTGAGATGTTTGGTGCGAGTCAAAATTGCCACTCTAAAGGTGATGACATTTTCCTGGAATAATTAAATCACTGATTAGGTGATAACTTTTATTGGAGCATGTTTAACCATTTGCAAGTACCTTAATTACTGACAATTAAAAAAAAAAAAAAAAAAAAAAGTACATTCATTACCTCATGCTGATGAGGACATCTCCGTTCCGGAAGATGAAGAGGAGAATGTTTTCCTGAGTAACGTCGTGAAAGTTAGCGCTCTTCTCGTTAGCGAAGAACAGGTCGGGTTTCCAGAGACATTTGAACATCTTGGGATCAACAGTGAGGGAATCAGACTTGAAGTCTTGTGGCAGCTTCAGCCTGGGGTCGTTCCAGCGCTGCCGCAGGAAGATGTTGACTCTGTAATCCTGTTAGGTTCAACGGCGGACAAATACAAACATTGTTAATATTGAGTTCCATGTTATTGCTATTGGATACAAGCTGGCTGCTTTCAAAGTGATTGATGACCAAAAGGCAAACTCTTTGACTTGGGAGGAAAAAAACACATTATCCACTTGTTTTCCATGAACATTTGTTATGAAGGAGCTCACAACTGTGTTCTCTGTCACAACGCAACAGATTCCTTAAAAGAGAAGTAAAAGCAACTCTTTAACTCTGCTAATTACATTTTGAATACTTTCGAATTCAATACAGCTGCCGCTTTGTCAAGATGAAGCATTTCTATCCTTTCGCAAGCTTTTCTTTTTTCTCCATCTTCATTTTAGGTTTTCAGTCACATGCAAATGTTCTCAAAGCAAACACTTAAGCGCAGAGTGACATTTTCCAGCTGCAGCAGAAACTGCACAGTCCAGAGGTCAGATGTTATCAATACAGCAACTGCAAATAGGCCATTAGTGAGCTTATTAGTTAAATGTCTGCATTCTTGCTGGTGGGAAAATACAACTCGAGACCTAAGGGTGTTTTTTTGTGCCCATTTTGACGGTGCGCCTCAAGCTGCTCCGTGACCAGGTGGACTGTTATTGCCGAGGTTGAAGATGGATGATATGTCAAATAAAGCTGCCAAAGTACCAGCTTTGTGTGTGAGAAATACACTTCCACCTTCCACTCCTTCACTTTTCACACATTTTTTTATATTGGTCTCCTATTTTATTTTTATTGATGTGTTTATTTGTAGTAACTTGCTTAATTTTTTTTTTTGCTTACGATCAACATCTGTCATTCCGTCGTGATCTGCTTTTAATAAAAATGTCTATTTTTTTGTACATACTGTTGAAGGCAGTGGCGTGTAAACGATAACACAGTAAAATTAGCAGCACAACCAACAATAGACAATGCTACCATTTAAATGTTCAACTCTTAAGTGTCGTCATTGCTTCTAAAATGTATTTACCCCCTTTGGAAATGTTCCCCTTTAGTTGCTTTTAAACATTAAGACATGGACTGATTTTTAAATATATTTTGGACAAGAATTAATAAAAAAAAAAAGAAAAAGAAAAAAATAAATAAATCCATTCATGACAAAGTGAAAACAGATTTCTACAAAGTCATATCAGTTAATTAAAAAATGTCAAATGTAAGATAGGTGATTGTGCAGGTATTCAATTCATGTCAGTATTTAGGCCATGTTTACACATAGCCGGGTATTTACAACAACGGATCTACATTTTCAAAAATAACATTGTTTACACCAGATCGTTTAAAAAAAAAATCCTCCTTTACACATGTCTGCATAAACACATCGTTAAGAGCTGCTATGAGCATTCCAAACCTATAGGGGGCAGTGTAACGAGAAGCATAAAGCCATGCTAGCCAATCAGAATCCTGGAAAAAACACAACAACAAATAGCACAAATTACTTCCTGTTACTTCAACGATAATGATGCGAGGGTCGTTTGTTTGGACAGACAGAGATGTGGAGCTACTCATAAATGTGGTGTTAGAGTACGAAACAAGTAAAATTTCATTTCTGAATGTAAATGCAAACAGGCCAAAAGCATTTGCACAAACATGAAAACAAGCACTGCTTTAACAGCATCCATTTCTAACACAGTAGCCAAACTGTAAACATGGGTCGCCCACACATGGCGCTGATGTGGAATACTGTGACGTCAAACTCTGTCTACATGCAAATGTAAAGACGGAGTTTTTCCAAATCTTCACTTTGAGTTTTCTAATATGATCGTTTTCGGTGACTTGTAGCTTTGTTTACGTGTAAACCAAAGGCATTGAAATATCACCGTTTTGGCTCCATGTCAATGGGGCCGCAGTTGATGCTTTGACCACAATCAGCAATTTTACCCTGTTTTTCTTTGCAAAAACTACTCAAGGTCTGTCAGGTTGCACAGGGATCGTGAGTCAGCAGCCCCTTTTTCAAGTTCAGCCAAAAATTCTCAATTGGATTAAGGTCTGGGCTTGGACTCGGCCCCTCCAAAGCGTCCACCTTGTTGACTTTCAACCATTTCAGCTTTGGCTGTGTGCTTCGGTTGATTGTCGGGCGAAAAACAAATCTTCTCCCAAGGTGCAGTTCATTTGCAGACTGCTTCTGATTGCTCTACGTTATTTCCCTACACTATTCCTAAACCCTCCATCTTTTTTTAGGCACTGCATTAGCATAGGCGGCAAGAAAAACAGTCATAAAGCCAACCACTGCCGATATCACAGCTGCCATACACAAAGGCATCCTCTGTGATGAACTGACACAATCCAAACAACAGAACTGGAATAAAACAAGATAGACTTTTGTTCTTCTACCTTTCTAGAAGGACATTTTTCACACTAAAACGCTTCCTCGGGACAAAAACAACACAGTGTATTTTTAAACAGATGTTTGTGCCTTTTTATATACCCAAATGCAAATTCTGAACTGAGGGGCATGTTTACCCTTCATCAGTCATATCCTGGTGTATCGTCATTGAGTTCATGAGACTCATAAGACCCAGCATTGTGCAAGTAGTGCAGAGTGTCTCATTTAGCAGTAAACATCACACTGTATATGTGTCTAAAATTTCCATATAAATATACAGAAAAGATCCAGTGTTTGAATGATTCACGTAATGTTGGATGTCTATGAGGAGAAACTAACTGAAGCTTTCCCTCCTGACTGTTGGAAATGCAATATGAATAGACAGGAACTATTTCAAAAATTCATCTGACACTGTTTCATACACAGACATCTCAGGATAGTTTATAAATTCAGCAGTAAACCAGACAGTGCTTTATCCCGCTGCCAGGGACCATTCTTGGGAGGGAAACCTGTGGTCAAATTGTTGATATCTCATTTTGGAAAGCAAGCTGTCATTTTTATACAAAGCAATTTCAGACAACGTCCAACAAGTCCTCCAGCGACAGCACAAAAAGCTTCTGCTGGCTTTTTCTCTGTCTGACAGAGACCCGGGCCAATTCCCACACCTTTTTGCTTTTCTGAAAACCAGACAAGGAAATATATCTTCCTTCTGGCTCGCTATCAAGCTGCCACTACAGCATTCGATTCCGGAGAGATTTAACACAACGGCCCGCTGTAATGAACAAGAAAAACTCAAGCTGAGAAGCAATAAAAAAAAAAAAAAAAAAAACACGTAGCCACAATTTATTCCATCTCACAACATCAAATTAGTCGTTCTCTTCTGAGGACCACGATCATCAAGTGAAAATAGACGTGTTAACTGCAGTGGACGTGAGGTGGGGTTTGGCTGAGAGAGGTGCAAATGATGAGAGAGGGTTTCCTGCCATCAGATACCCCACAGAGTGAAAAATTGAGGGGGAGAGGTGACCAGCTGTCTTCTTCTCCTTCCTCCTCCTGGATTCATTTGAACCTTCGTCACTTTCATTCTCTTTCTGTTTTTTTTTTTTTTTGTCCAGGGGGAAGAAGGAAGACAGAAGCTGCAGTCTGGGAGGTGTGCATGCCTCTTTCTCTTTGACTGACTCTTTCTTGGCTCCCTTTCTCGATTCCTTTTCCTCTGTTCTTCCCCTAATCTCTCTTTCTTTACATTCTTTCCTCTCTTGCTGTCTTTATTTTTCTTTGTTTTTTCACGCTTTACTCCTTCCGCCTTTCTTTGCTCTCCCCCTTCTGTCTTATTTTTCTTCATTTCTCAGTCTTTTCATCCCGATCTCCCATTTTCTTTCCTTTTACTGTCTGGTTTCATCTCCCCTCTCCGGTCCACTTCACTTTACCTTCGTCTTTCTCATCCTATTTCTCTTGCCTTTACTCTTTGCCCCACCCCCCGTCTCTCTAACATCTTGGCTATCTTTCTCACTTTCTGTCACCGGCTTTGACTTTTTGCTTACTGTCTTCTGTTGTTTTTCTCACCTCTCCGTCACCTTAATTCTTTCTGTCTCGTCATCCTTCATAGTGCTCTTCCATCTTTCTTTCTTCCCATTATTCTTTATTTCTCTCCCTCTTGTTTCCTCCGTTTGATTTTCTTTTTTTTTTCCCTCTCTCTTTCCATCCGTGCACACCGCTTCTATACATCGAGTTGTAAAGATTTTCCACTTTCAATTAGCATGTAGCAACCTAATTGGTCTATAATTGGTCTTGGTGTGAAACTCTCCACTGGAAGGTTTTCTAAGTAAATACACTCCACTGATCTGCAGCCAATTTTTCATGCAGCTCATATTCCGGGATACGAGATCCAAAACTTTGTTCAGAGTGCCACGACGCATGAAACCGGATAAGAGTGAACACTGAACATTGATAAACACTGACCACTTCTTGGACATTCTGTCTGTTCCTGCACAGACTTAGGTTGGCAGTATGTTCTGTGACTAAAACTGGATTATTCATGAGGAGAAAATGTCATGTCAGGAGAAAAAGGGGGACACTGAATTGCACATTGGCTGCACATATATATACAATTTGACTGTCAAAATAGAATTGCAATTTTGGTAGTATTCAGATGTATTCAGAAATTTAAAATGTTGATGTTTTTTTAACAGTTGGCTCAGTAATTCACCTCATTATTCATAGGTCCCAGAACCATCCTTTGATTACTCTGGGTTCAATTATTCTGTGAGGATAAGTGTCTTCTTTTGTAATGAAGGGCTTCAGTTTACAGCTCGTCAAATGCGCTGCATGAGATGCACGAGACAGCATCGAGTCCATTAATTACGTCGCTGGGTTGCATGATTGAATACATCTCTCCATGTTTACTGGCTTCCTTCCAGCAGCTTTAAATTAACAAAATAAAAAAAACACACACACGCACACACGCAGGAAAACCAACCTTATTAGAATCAGTAAAGTTCCCGTTATTGTTTCCTAAGTGAACAAGAGTCGACCCAGCGCCGTCCTTGAGTTTAATCTGGTTATTAGTATTCAAACTGCACTTCTTTATCAGCAATTAAGCCATCAGATAAATGAGGCATGAAAACCCCAGTCTTCATAATGATTCACTGCTAAATGCTCTGATACCGTCTAGAAAACATGCTCAAGCATTCTTGGCAAAACTTGCGGGATAAAGCAGTTTTCAGCTCTGATCCACTGCTTCTGATTGACAGAAGTATTGATTACCAATACTGCCAGGCTGCAGTGGCACTGAAGTGAATTCTTACCATGGTCGTTTCTTGGATCGAGCCAAAGCTGTTGATGAAAATGTTCACTCTGTCCTCCACAGGAATTCCTGAATTTAGAAAAGGGAAAGAAAAGATTGTAGTATTGAGCATTGTGTCTACTGCTTCACATCAACCTTGCATTGAGGCTGAGGTGCTGCTGTGCTTGTTGTTTACAGAATTGTGAATATATTCTGTAAATATCTTAAATCTCTATATATACCTCACCATGTATATGTATAGCTCTACACCAATACATATTGTACCTGGTGATTAAATTGATTATTTTACTGATGAGGATGTGCAAAGTAATAAAAATCCCTTCTCAAGAGCTTCCCGTCGCTTTGCCAAGCTAACACTGTAAACATTTGTACTGGCATCTCTCTCCACTCATCCTTTTGCATAAACTAATAATATCCTTGATGAATGCAGACTGCTCACCCTGCTTTGAATAAATTATTTCCTTTGAGGTGTTTACTGGAGGTTTGGGAGTTTCACAGGATAAACTCTACCGTGCAATTTGCAAAATTAATGCACATAATATTGAGGTGGCACCGAGCTCGAATCGTCTTTGCATTAATGCAACCGAGTAAACGAATTAATATTCAGGAAACACTTTCGGTGTTACCTTAACATTTTCTATAGGGTCTATAAAAGCAGCTAACCGTTTTCCAGGCCTGGGTAAAGTAATGCACAAGGCTCAGTTTAGATGTTAATTTGGGAGATTATAGCATGGATCTTAATGGACAGGGAGCTTTCAGCCCGCCCGAAATCAAGAGCAGATGTTTGGCTGCTGGACCAGTCATAGGCAGTCGGGGAGGGAATGCGTCTGCTCACTGCACATCAAACACTGAGTCCCAGATACAGCTTCTGCTGCCAAGTGGCAGAGGATGGAAACTATCTGAGGATCCACCTGAAGACTGGTAAGCCCATCAGTAAGACAGGGAGGCCACCAGTCACCTCTTTGTTGTTTTTTAATAGTTGTTTCTGTGAGACTGAAGCATGACACTCGTGTCAGTGTGACATGAACACTATAAACACTAAAGATAGATACTTGGTAGGCAGTGAAGAATGAAAACAGATTTAGGAATTTGGGAGTTCATTATGGGTCCAGTTCCATTAAGAGTTAGGAAATCTTGTATCTCCCAGTGTCATTCTTTACTGGCCTAAGATGGAAAGAGCACTCGGTGTGCAGTGGTGCGTGGCTTCTGATGAGTTCCAGTTTAGAGTGGTCGTCAAAGAGAATCCACTTACCCGAAGAGGAGCTTTGTCCACAGTTGCTTCAGTATATGATCCACTCGGATTCGTGGCACCTTTCATCCTAGTTGGAAAGCAGATCCTACAGCAGATGTGTCGTGATAAGCTGAACTGGGATGATTCTTTACCTGACGACCTGCAACCTCAGTGGGAATGTTGGCTCCAAGACCTACATAATCTGGCTAATGTTAAGATCCCAAGATGCTACGTTCCATCAAGCTTCAAGATACAGCATTATGAGCTTCACCATTTCTCTGATGCCAGTGTGTCAGGTTATGGTGCATGCTCGTACCTCAGAGCAGTCAGTGAATCAGGTGAAGTCCACTGTTCCTTGGTTGTGGGGAAAGCAAGAGTTGCCCCTACCAAGGTCACAACCATACCAAGACTTGAGCTGTCAGCAGCAGTGGTAGCCATCCATACCAGTGACATGCTCAAGAAAGAACTGGAAGTAGAGTGCCTACAAGAATTCTTCTGGGCTGATTCGATGATGCTCCTTGGGTACATCAAGAATGAAGCCAGAAGATTTCACGTGTTTGTAGCAAACCACGTGGAACATATCAAGCAAAGCACAGAATCCACATAAAGGAAGTATGTGGATTCCGAAGAAAATCCAGCAGACCATACCTCAAGGGGTCTTACAGCAGAGCAGCTTGCATCCTCTAACTGGTTCACAGGCCCAGTGTTCCTGTGGCAGAAAGAGCTGCCAACAGGAGAAGTTAAGGTGGGAGAAGTTTCAAGTAGTGATCCAGAACTGAAGAAAGTCCAGGTCCATGACATCCAGGCAAAGGAGACAAAGCCATTGTTAGGCTGACTGCACAAGTTCCCCGCCTGCTCCAGAATGGTGAAAGCTATCGCCACACCAAAGCGCTGTGTAAAGGAAATAAAGGGTCTCCAACCAAGGTCCCGTGAAGCCACCAGTTTAGAGGAAAGGAGAGAAGCAGAACTGACCATAATCAAGATGGTTCAAGAAGCAACCTTCTCAAAGGAGATACAGTTCCTCCAGAGTCACAAGGAGACACAAATTAAAGTCAAGGCTAACAAGTTACACCAATTAAGTCCATTCCTTGATGACCAAGGTATCCTCAGAGTGGGAGGACGCTTAACCCATGCTGCTCTACATCCGCATGTTAAGCATTCAGCGGTCCTTCCAAAAGATAGTCATGTGTCAGCATTACTTGTCAAGCACTATCATGAGAGAGTTCTCCATCAGGGACGGGGAAGGACCATGAATGCACTTCAATCCAATGGCATATGGATCTTAGGCTGCAGCAAAGCAGTATCATCCCATATCTACAAGTGCACTATGTGCAGGAAATTCAGAAGAAGCCCAGAACAGCAAAGGATGGCAGATGGCAGACCTCCCAGAAGACCAGATAGAAACCACCCCTCCATTCACATACTGCGGGATGGACTGTTTTGGACCTTTCTACATTAAAGAGGGAAGAAAAGAGCTAAAGAGTTATAGGCTGTTACTTACCTGTATGTGTTCCAGAGCTGTGCACATTGAGATGCTTGATGACCTGACCACAGATGCCTTCATTAATGCTCTGCGTTCGTTCATTGCCATTTGTGGAACAGTACGCCAGCTAAGATGCGATCAAGAGATAAACTTTGTCGGAGCAAGGCGCAAGTTCGCTGAAGCACTGAAAGAGGTGGATCAGGAAGAGCTCAAAGAATTTGGATGTGAACACCCCAGCCTCAAGTCATATGGGTGGAGTCTGGGAAAGACAAATTCACACCATCAGAAGTGTCTTGACATCGATCCTGGAACAGTCAGCCAGACAACTTGACTGCTCCTCTCTACGAACGTTCCTGTACGAAGTCATGGCAGTTGTCAACAGCAGACCTCTGACCACTGATTGTCTGAATGACTCATCCAGCCCAGAGCCCCTGACACCAAACCACATTTTGACAATGAAGTCGATGATCTTCGCTCCACCTCCTGGAAGGTTTGTCGATGAAGATCTCTACCTCCGTAGGAGATGGCGTCGTGTTCAACTCTTGGCCAACCTCTTCTGGACACGGTGGAAGAAGGAGTACCTCCTGAATCTCCAACAAAGGCAGAAGTGGATCAAGAACTGCAGAGACGCGAAGGTCAATGATGCTGTTCTCCTCCAAGATGATATCACACCACGCAACCAATGGAAGTTACCAAGAGTCATCAACGTGTACCCAGGAAAGGATGGAAGAGTGAGAAGACTGAAGTTGCTCATCTGTGACTCCAACCTTGATGAAAAGGGAAGGCATGTCTCCAAACCTGTCCACCTTGAGAGGCCCATCCATAAGACGGTGACACTGCTGGAAGCAGACTGATCTGCTTACTGTTTAATTCTGAGTAATTTAGAGTAAGAAATCATAGATTTCGGTGGGAGCTACAATTACAAAATGCTGGAAACACACAGGTAACATTAGCAGGCTTCCTAACTGGAAAATTAAGGTTAATTCTGTATCGGGTAACTGTTCCTGAAACTTTAGTCTGTTGGTAATGTGTGTGTCTCTCTAAATGTGTTTCTTTAAGCCCCTGAGCTGCAGCCGAATAACGTTTGTGAGCAAAAAGATACGTCATTTCAAATGATCAATGCAAGGCCTCTAAACAATGTGTTGTTTTCATTCAGCAGAGAAATGAGCATCTGATTGTGACACATTAAATACACAAAAGTTCCCCCCTAATTTTAAGGTATTAAATCATGATTTGGACTTCTCTGTAGTTAATCAAGACCTCCTTTTTATGGCACAAGTAGTTTGTAAATAGTGAATTTTTAAAGTTAGTATGTCCCAGCTGTTATTTCTGTTATCTGGCTTCATTAACATTAAACAGTTTAAAAGCTACCACTAAAAACTTCAGTATTTCTGGCTTTCTTCTCACAACAGCTGATCACAGACCAAACTGAAGCTTTGATTTCTAGTTATTTATAACTTTATTCATGTGCAATTCTGAGAGCTAAACTTAATAAGATTCGATAAGGGATTCAAAAGGATTTGGATTTGGTAAGTAGATTAAATACTGGATTCAGATTTGATTAAATTCTATTGAATCCCTACTTAGACAGACTTACAAGCTTCTTTTTTTTATTGTTAAGTAGAATTTAGAATTGAAGTAATAGCACAAATGGTTTCCTATAACAACAACTCAAATATAATCCACAGAATGTCTTAAATTATAATGTTAAATTCGTTTAACAGCGAGAATGTGTCAGTCTGTCCCTGCTGGGGGTTCATTAAGGAGTATTCGACTCTGTAACTGTTTTGCAGCATATGTTGCATATGCAAGAGGATGCAGAACAGGGGATGCATTTTGATTAATGTCTCCACATTTACAGTCTGCAGATGCTCGTTCCAGCACCAAATGCTGAGAAGAAATGTGGAGGTACATATTCATAGTAAACGTGTTTCTTTAATTAGCGTGACGGCACTTCAGCTAAAATGTAAATCGAAAAGAGACAGAGGCAGATAAAGAGACTTGCCTTTGAAGTTGGGCCTTATTCTGGGATCATAGGTGATCAGTAACCTGTTCAAGATGTTGCTGGTTGAATTGGCAGGGACTCGAGCCAGATCCTCAGATGACAGCTGTCTGCAAACAAAGGAGACAGAGAGGGAACTTTAGCCACAATTACATTAGCAGGTCAAATTCCTGGCAGATGAGCAGTGCAGATGCGCAGTGCACTCACTTCTGTACGCTCTCTGACTAAACTGTAACCTAAAAGAGCTACCAGTTTGGGATTAGGTTGGCTTTTAGGATTTGGACCACCCAGGCAATGTTAGAGTGAAGCGATGTTTAGAAATGAGTTGTGAGGCTTTTCTGAGAAGCGTCCAGATCATGACTGTGGAAGTTGGTATGATCTCTGAGACCAATAGTAGACGTTGTTTTTAACCGTCTAAGACAATAAAGTATGTCTTTTGGAAACACCCTTCAACTAAATTAGTCATTAACTAAGTGTATAGCCATGCTATAAAGTCTGTTTAACTGTTCATAGAATAACCTTAATAGTAAAAATAATCTTTAATATGCTCAAAGTGACTGTGCAAAGTTTATGTTCATCATCTTACCATGGTGTCATTTTGTAAACTACGACAAAATACATGCCACCTGTAGTCGTACTATCATTGATTTGCAAGTGTTTGGCCATAAACAGCTCAATTGGACATGTTAAAAAGTGGAGAAATGTGGCAAAAAATGTTTTTAGCATTTTTAAAAAGTTAAAGCTACAGAATTCCAAAACTCAATCAACGCAGGGGTAATTCTACTCTACTGTCTGCACTTTATTCTTAAAAACAAGTTGCTAAGTAAACCTCTAGATAAGGTTTTACCTCTGTGTAAATCAGTGTGTCATGTGGGTGACAATGAGGATAAATAATTCCTCATGACAAGCAGCATACTTTTATTTCGCAAAGTATTTCCACTTTTTATCGAAACCAACACCTAATTTTCTTCCTGAGCCGTCCACAAAATAGCAAAAACAGCTGTCCACTGAAAATTACCACCAAAACACAAAGTGGTGGATTTCAAAGACACACAGTCAAACATCATTTGTTCTCGGAGCTTGACTAATGAAAAAAAACAATGGGACAGACAGAGGGAAAGGGGAGGACGGGATCTGGCAGGAGAGAAAGGAGAAACAGAAATCCTCCTCTTGGGTGGCAATGAATTCTCCTGCCAAAGAATTTCCCCTTCTCAAAGCACTTTACATATCATTATGTAAACCTTATCATGCACCGAGGATGAGTTAAAGTGCTCCACAGAAATGCTGCGCAGTGTGTATATGTTCTGCGGTTCCCCTGATCAAAGTGAAACACACAATTCCCACCCACTAAACCCTTTTTTTTTTTTTCTTTCCCCCTTCTCTTTTAACAGACCTTTCTGACAACCTCAAGCACAAGAGCTAAACTGGAACCAAGTGGTTTCCTTGATCCACAAAGACATCTGCAGCATTAAACACGAAACATGTCATACAGCTTACACTTGCCAATACTGGGACTACATCAAACAGTTTATCCCTCATTTCTAGAAGCTTCATTGTGAGGCCATTTGTTACCATTTAAGGAAGCAGAGGGTGCAGTTCTGTAATCCAGAAAGATAATGGACCCTCCAAAGGCATGTCAGGCATGTACTGAGGTTCATTCTGTTATGAGTACAGTACAGTATTTACTTCTTCAGTTTAATCAAGCCTTGATAACATAACTCTTTATTTTACCAGGGGTTTAAACATCCCTTGTGTATGGTGGGTTTTGCATAAATTCCTCAAAAGTTGATCCTTTCAAAACCTATCTGTTTGCATGTAAACGGTGGGTAAAAACTGAAAAGTAAGATCCAGCATATGCAAAATAGACTCCTGCTTGACTGCCAACATTTAAGGCACCTCAAAAGTGAACTCTACCAGTTTCACACGTACAGGTCAAGAGGTTTATTAGTCATTAAGAGGACCACTCAGCCAATGCAAACAGTTGTATAATGTCCTCCGTGTCTCTGCAGGAGCTTTAGTCAAGTCTGGCAAAACAACACCGGTGATGTAATCAGACTTCGGGCTGCATATTACTGGAAAATATTGACACTGCGATATTTAGTTTTGTTACTTTTGTTTTTAAGCACAAAAAAAATCCCCCAAATGACTGAAATAAATAGTGCTTTTTGGAAAGAATTAATCATTCTGGGATGATGAGGGTGATTTTGTTGTTTACGTCAAAAAGTACAAAAGTCTGGAACTGTGTGACACTGGCAAAGCCCTCTAAAATACTGTTTTTACTTTGGATGGCATTCAGATATTGCCTCGCACTCATCAAACAGAGCTTTGTGGTGATGATTTAAGCAGTCAGACAAACTAGTTGTGTTGCCTCGTGTATAGCAAGACACAGACGAAGAGGTACCTTGTTTTTGGTCATCTTTTCTGTAGCCAAACTATTTCCACACTGTTGCTTTCTACAACCAATCTTCCCTTTCAGTGCTTCTCTCTTGTTCCTCACTCATTTTGCTGCACACATGTGGAGCCTGCATGTCGACAGAGTCCATACTTTCTCTGTTTACTTTAAGTACATACTGGGACGGACTACTTTGTCAAAATAATCTGCCTTAAAATCGACCGTTGTGGTCTTGTGTTCTTGCTCTAGGCGGCCCACACTTGCGTATACTCACATGAGACATGTATGACGTACAGGACATGAGGATCATGGGTCAGAAGGGTAAGAAAAACATGCTGCAAAATCAGATGGGATGGGCTAGGATATAAAATCATTTTTGGCATACTATGCTCAATTATACGTATGATAGTATGGATATGGGAACGCACCCTTTGGCTTGTGGATAAAGTAATGAAAGAGAAAACTAAGGGTGTCGCACCTCCTGTGACGCGACTTTTGCACACATTGCAGTGTCGATCCTGAAATAGTACACTGTCCTAATCAGGGTCATCAAACTTTAAAACAGAAAGTTAGTCATGTGTCTTGAAAGACTCTTGCAGTAAGGGTCTCGCAAGAAAATGTGGTCAGCTGCATTATGGGAATTGTAGGTTCCAGCATCTTTGGAGCTCAACCCATCTTAGGATTTGATCAGCCTGGTTAGTTTCTAAGTCAGAGTTTCTCTGCCTGTCCTGCAATTGTGACCACTCTTAAGTTATGCAATGCAAATGATAGTTTGAGAAAATCCATCACAGATTAGTTTTAAATCCCTCTGAAACTCATGTCATTGCTGCGCTTAGTATTTGCAAAAAAAAAGCTACATGCAGTACAACATGTGTGTTGTCTGTTACACAATACGGCCGAGCAATCCCATACTTACGATGGACAGTAAACCTGCTTCCCTTTCTTCTTCCCCTTCTTTGTTCCTTTTTCTTTGGCAGATCCTCCGTCGACACAAAGAGAGAGGACCAAGAGAAATATGGCGAACTTCCTCATGCCCATTCTGGTGTGAGGTAAGCCTGTGGAGGAAAGCGAAACCGTTTAAATACAGCAAAAAAGGAGAAATAGAATTTAAATTACTCAGGCTTGAAGGTGTGCAGTTTAATAACCCAATCGTTTTCGTTTCACATTGAACAAATCTCACCATCCATTTGCATGTGACAGCAGACAGTGGTTAATTACGCTTTGCCCTTGGTGGGAGTACAGAGCTTCAGAGCACTTTGTCTATTTCCTGGAGCCTGTAACTTTGCCCCCTTACTTTCGTGACATGATGTATTCTCGTTTACTCTGGATGCATGTCACACACAGTAAATGTCTAAAACTTAAATGAATCAATCTGACAAGGTTTAATAAAGTGGAGCAAGTTCAAAGCCTAAATTCAATCATTGGAGTAATGCACCTGAATAACGATGGTCATTCAGGACTCGGCAGCTTGAATGTGACCTTTAAAAGGAGGCTGAAATAAATATTACACCCCCGACTTCAGTCTAGAAAAGCCTTAATAAGGCCGTTTTCTGCATGCGGCTGTACATTTGCTTTATCGTGTTTAAAATCCATAACAGTTGATGTGATTTATGATGACCGTGGTGTTACTTTCCGATCCTTTCACGCGCCACAATGCTAAAATGTAGGCAGGTAACAGATAATGCGGCCCCATGTGTTTACAGTCACAAAACTATACATATACAAATAAACACGCACAGAATGCATTTTTGCATTTCTTGATAGGGCCCATTAATCAGCCAGCAACCATAGTACCTGTGTGATTCATTCCCCATCCAGGAAAGCGCTGCCCTTTCATTGCACAGGGACACTGAGACCAACACCCCCCCCTACTACCACACACACACCCTGCCAGCAAGTCTGTATATTAACTGAGGCAGTTTATTGTCTAGACAGAGACACTCTCTCTCTTTCTCACTGCCTTGGCCCAGCAAATCCCTGTCTGCTCCTCGCCTGCACATTGATCATCATCTTCTCCAGCAGAAATCCTTTCCACAGCTCTGTTCGGGGCCTTTTGCCTTCATGCAAACACCTTGTCCTGTCTAAAGCAAGTCAGCACGACTTTATCGATCAGGGAAAACTCCTGAGAAACGGAAAACTGGGTGGCGTTCCAGTGGCCAACATTCGTCAAGACTAACCCGCACGTATCGGATGGCAATAGCTGGAGCGGTGTCAAATGTTTGACTTGGCAGCCCATCCACATAGCTTAGAAGCCGTTTCTTGTGTGACCTATAAATTCTCTATACTATCTTCCCTTTGGCATTTCTCAACATGACAACTCCCATCTCGGACTCTTTAGTACAGTGTTCCTGACAAGGACGTCTACAAACATCCACAGCTAATGTGCAGCCCACTGTCGAGAAGAAGTGGGTTTTATTGTAAAATAAGACACATCTAAAAACCTTGATCTGCCCTCTGACGCATTATGGTTCTGGTTCAGAACCTGTTTTTGGGAAGTGAACCCTACACAGCCAAGCATGTCTCACTCTGCAACTTTGTGAGAACATTTCTGATGTGAATCATCTCACAACCCTTAAGATTTATTTTACAACACAGCAGCAGAGCAGCGGAGTCTTTTTTTGTTTTTTAGTCGTAAAACTGGGCTGCAAGGTGGATCAGTGGTTAGCACTGTTGCCTCGCAGCTAGCAGGTCGCCGATGAGGACACCCGGGATCTTTCTGCGTGGAGTTTGCATGTTCTCCCCGTGCAGCGTGGGTTCTCCAGCTTCCTCCCTCACAGTCCAAAAACATGTTGAGGTTAATTAGTGATTCTAAATTGTCCGTAGGTGTGAATGTGAGTGTGCTTGGTTGTCTGTCTCTAAGTGTAGCCCTGTGATAGACTGGCGACCTGTCCAGGGTGTCCCCTGTCTTCACCCTGAGTCAGCTGGGATAGACTCCAGCCCCCCATGACCCTAGTGAGGATTAAGCGGTGTATAGATAATGGATGGATGAAAAGGTAAAACTCAAAAAAAGAATGGAGGAAAAGTCTTTTAAGTATATATTCTTCATCTTTCCAGTCTTGTGAATTATTTCACAGCCCCTTGAATAGATCTATTTTGAGATCCTTTTAGAGCCCAAACCCCAAGCGGCAAAAACGTTGCATCAGTGGATTTGTGACATCAGCAAAGTATCTTTATTTCCCAATAGTCTCATTTATTTGGCTTTGATTGGTGCGTTAGGGACTTGTTTACCTTGTATGAGAGCTCATACATACACTGTGTGTGTCCACTTCAAACATATTCAAACAAAATTAAGCACAAACCAGGTCATCATTAATGCTAAGCAAAACAGAAAAGTGAGCTCAGCCGAGACCGGAACGCGACCTTGGCCCTGTCTGAGTCAACTGTGCGCCACCACTGAAGAACATCACCCTTGCTGTCTCTCACTACCGGCCATGACAACAACACAGGCTTTGTCATTTGGTGACTGACAGTGACTCAAGCAGCCTTCCATGGTGTGCCCCATGGGTCAGTATGAGCACATGACCTCCACAAGCTGTGTATTTTTTTACAGTCCGCACCATAAATATGCAAATTCTGTGAAAGATAAACCCTGTAAAGAAGAGAAAATAATCAGGTTAATGGGTGATTATTATTTCAAAGCTATTAATATTGATGGTCAGCAATGCAGGTTTGTGATGAGGTGGGAAATAAAATGCATCATTCATGATTTTCTTCACTTAATTCTGCACGAGCTGCACACTTCAGTTGACTGTTTTCTGTCCTCATCTAACTGCTAAACGCATTAACCTGCCGAGGACAGGGGCCTTGGCTGCGCTCCACCAAAACGCTCATATGCAACCGACGCAAAAACTAAAAATAAAGCAAAGGAGCTCTCACAACCTGTGGCTTGCACGTCTGCTCGGAACAAGAGTAAAGTAAGTAACAGAGGCTGACACTCGCCCGAAGCCTGAGCAATGAAAGGAGACTGTGGAGAGAACAACACGAGGAAGAAGAAAAACACACAGCGACCACCATGACGATGGGGGGATGCAGGGAGGATGCCAGTACATGTGAACGCGCCTCTCCTCCACTTCACACGGGAGCGCACGTTCCTCAACACACGGCGGATAACGCGAAAGTCGTCCATCATAAAAACAGAAATTCAAAAAAATGAATAAATAAAAAAGAAAGGACAGCCCCACTCACCGTGTTGGCTTTAATCACCTGTCAAATCCTCAGAAAACTAGATCTGTGAGAGTGGTGGTTACCAGAGGCGTCCAGACCAGCCGCTGTCTTTCTTTTCCATGCTGTTCTTCTTCCACTGGAGCGATTTTTGTTCCAATTTTTCTTTTCTTTCTTTTTTTTAAGAGAAAGAAAAAGTTACATCTCGGCAAATTGCCAATATTTTGCTTTGGTCGTGTCCCCCCAGCGCGCTTCTGCTCCTTCTTGTTGTTGTTATTTTTGGAGTCAGTGTGTATATGGCTGCTGCCCTTTCGCCTCAGCTCGGGATGCCCAAGATGGAGGCTTTGCGTGTACCTGTCATGCAACATGCGCAGTAGCGGCTGCACGGAGCTGGAGAGCATCACTCCCATCAGCACCACGGACAGCCGCTCCCCGCCTCCTCCGCGTCCACGGCCGCCTGCTGGAGACGTGGCGGCGGCGGCGGCGGGAGGAGGAGGAGAGAGAGGCGAGGCGCTCCACGTTCACGTGATGGAGCCAAACGCCTCACTATTTATGGCGGTGTCTGCGTGCTGTTTAGCGGCAGATGGACTGTATAGACCATAAAGCAGCGACAGTGGGCAAGTGATGGATGCAATATAGCTCAGGCTCAGGAGATGCTTCAGTGGTGTTAATGTGAGTTATGTAATATTCTGGTGAATTGCAAGAGAAGGAGCAGGTCTGGATTTGCATAGACTCATTTATGTAAAAGATCCGAGATGTTGATTTAGAGCTAAATGGGAATTTAATAGAGTGAATGAGTGAGTAGGGAGGGAATTACAATTAAAGGGCTGATCTGCGTTTTCTGTATGTCAGGTACAAATGATCAGAGCCAGTAAGAGCTAATCCAGTGATATTCAGCGCTGTGTTTAAATATCTGATTAAAATAATCCAGTAATGTCATTAAAAATCAAACAAGCAATTAATATTTTTGCTGAAAGCAGGTTCAAATTGGGTCACTGTGTTTATTTGTTTTGTTTTTCTGGAGTTGTTTTTTTTTTTTTTTAAATATCAGGCTATCTTCATCTGCACACTGTAATAATAAATAAATAAATAAATAAATAAAACTGTTTTGAAATTTTCATTCCTATTTTTAAAAAAATAAATAAAACAAAATATAAAAATTTATCATTTTTTTATTTTATTTTTTCTTTTGTATTTTTTCATAACTAAAAATATCAATTACTTTACAAAAACAAACATTAGTGTATAAACACAGTAACCTGCATTTTCTTTATTATTTTGTAAGACTTTTACAATTTAAAATATTTGAAAAAGTTTAATATTTTTCCATTACTTATTTGGGAAAGTGAAATATTTTTGAGTCATTTTGTTTTAATGATTATGCCTTATAGTTTCAGAAATCCAGTATCTCAAATTATTAGAATATTTCCTGAAATCAATCCAAAAATAAATACTCAATACTTTGGTTGGGCCTCCTTTAGCAAGAATCACTCCATCAGCATGCTGTTGCATGGTGGTGATCATCCTGTGGCACTGCTGAGGTGTTACTGAGAGCTGCTTTGATAGCAGCCTTCAGCTATTTTTGATTCAGGTGTTTCTAATCTTTATCTTGAACATACCCTACATAGGGTCAGGTGAGTTGGCTGACCAATCAAGAACAGTAATATCATGGTCATCAAACCCTTTGTTAGTACTTTTGGCTCTGTGGGCAGGTGTTAAGTCCAACTAGAAGAGGACACCAGCATCTCTGTAAAGCTAGTCAACAGATTGAAGCATGAAGTTCTCTACAATCTCCTGTTAAAAAGCGTTGACTTTGGATTTACTAAAACACAGTGGTCCAACACCAGCAGACAACATGGCACCTAAAATCTTCACAGACTGTGGAAACTCCACACTGGAATTCAAGCACCTCTTGACTCATCCTCCAGACTCTAGGACCTTGATTTGCAAATAAAATGCAAAATTGACCTTGATCTGAGAAGAAGTCTTTGGACCACTGAGCAACAGTTCAGTTCCCTTTCTCCTCAGCCAAGATAAGAACTGACATTGTCTCTGGGTCAGAAGTGGCTTGATAATAGAAATATGACAGTTGCAGCTCCTTTCCTTGTGGCTCCTGATGCACTGAAACCAGCCTCAGTCATCTCCTTGTGAAGCTCTCCCAAGTTTTTGAATCCAATTTTCTTGAAAATCATCCTCGAGCTGCATTCATCTCCAGTCCAGTCAACTTTCTAATGATATGCTTCGATACAGCATTCTGCCAACAACCAGCCTTTTCAGCAACGACCCTCTGTGGCCTAAACTCCTTGTGGAGGATGATGGTCTTCTGGACAGCTTTCAAGTCATTAGTCTTCTTCCAGGATTGTGGTTGTAGTAAATACAAAATAATATTCTGAGCTCATTTTCATGAGCTAAGCCACAATCATCGATATTAAAACCAAAAAAAAAAAGCCTTATTACAATACTTCATTTTACATTTAATGAGTGTAAAAAAATTTAATAATTATTTTAAATGATTGATTTTAAATTATATTCTTGTTGTTTTTGTGCCCCAGAAGAGTTTTTACTGTTGTTTTGTTGTTTGTTTGTTTTGAGGTTTCATGAAGTGCTTGGAAAACAGGAATCTATCTCCATGACAACTGGACAAACCCTGTTGGCTGGTGAAGATGTGATAAACTCTACAGTAACTTAAATCTCCAGAACAGCGACCTAATGGACCTTCTGGTGACACAGTTTTCTGAACTGCTGTTTCTGAGTTCAGTAGATTTAGTTGTTAACTCTGTGCATTCAGCCTGTTACACATTCGGGAGTTATAGACGGATGCAGTGTTGGATCTTTGTGTGTGTGTGTGTGTGTGTGTGTTGGAGTGGCCCCTGATTACATCACTGGATGGATTACACCTGAATGAATGAATTGGGGAACAGATGAATGACGTGACTGAACTGATGAACGACTTGGTTTAATAATTTTTCAAACTGGCACGCCTTGGCTGAAGCCCAACCTGTTATACGCTCATCAAATATTATAACTTGATACAATCACTCCATTGATTTTTATATCCGGTCTAAAAGCATTGTGTATAAAGTCGTTTTATGGATCATATATAGCAGTTTTATGTGGCATATGATTGATGTCCCTTTACACTGCAAACCGCTCTGAACAGAGCTGAGCTTTCTGTCGGTGGTGAGCTTCATCTAAAAATGTTCATGGGGATGGAAGCTGAGCTAAACGGTAAACATTTAGGTGTACATGTGTGTGTGTGTTAGGCTTAGATTTGTTTGGATATAATGTCATCAACTACTAAAATGAAAGAGAACAAGTATGTACTTTAGATAAAATCTTTATAAAGCTTGTTTGCACGGGTTACCTGCCTGCTAAAACACCTTAAGTAGGTTCATTTACAGGTAATAGGTTTTAATGCAACATGGTAATATTAAATTTAGAGGACTCACATCCTGTAAACAAACCATATAATGAGCTTTTGGATGTGAAAAACCAGCAGCAGACATTTATTCTGTGTTTTTATTACTCTGATCATAACTTCTCGGTTTTAACTCCGGATGTCCGAATGGTTCATATATTGTGGAGTGTTGTAATGAAATACGATCCAGTCTTTAAAAATAGGTCACAAGTAGAAATGATTATGTGGGCGATGATAGAAATTACTCTTTATATGCTTTTCATGCATTACAGAAAGAATTCCCTGAACAGATTTGGAATATATTTCTATGAACCACAACATGTGTCTGGATTTGGTTGTGGTTCTAACTTTTCTACTTAAAGATCCTTTTATAAACATCCCGGAGCTGTTTGTGTCATTTCTCATTCATTTTGCGAGTTTGGTTGGAACACATTCGAAGAAGCGAGCAGGAAGCCCTGATCTTTTGTTCCTTGAGTGAAAATAAAAATCCATGGCAGAGCACGACTGAGCTGATTTTCCCCACAATTTTGATCCATATCTCATTCATCATTTTATGTCAAACAACTTGGGAGGCCTTTCCACGTTGATTCCCATAGTATAATCTTGACTGACATGGCATTCCATTTGCATACACAAATTAATCGGCACCATATGCATAGAGATTAATGATTTATGTCACAGAGCGTGGTTCTGGGGTTACAATCAAGAGGCAAGCAATGGAGCACAAGGGTCCTTTTGTGTTGTTTAGAAAAATGTTGGCTGGCTGGCTACGAGCCACGGCTGTGATGGACAATCCCGTGCCATTCCAGAAATGTGTCAGACTGGATTGAAACAATCTACCGTGGTATAATAATAATACCTGGCATAAAAACCACATTTCTGCTACTATACTGCAGCTCAGAAGAGTTAGTACGTGTTGTCACATTCTAACTCAAATGGGGGGAAAAAAGCACTTTGACAGACCCGAAGAAACGCAAGAGCTGTTTCACTATTTGCTGCTAAGTAACACGTTTGTTTTCATTTCAGAAGTTATGGGTCGCTACTTAACTGAACCCAGAGAAGCTTCGAGAACGTAACTTTAGATGACAGTCACAAGATAAATTGCTTGGAAGAGGAAGAAGCACATGTCATGGGAGCTGTCAGAAATAATGTAAATCATGAAGGATGAACATTAAACAAAGAGCAGCGAGACTAATGGTATTTCCAAAGCACTGCGTTATTTCTAATCTAATATTTAGAAATAGTCCTGAATTGATTGCAAATACAGTAGATTTATGCATAAATCTCATGTTTCTTACAGAATGGCAACATGATGTATTTTTGAGGGTAAAAAAATGAAGACAAATACAGAATTACAGTGACTGTCGTTTGTAAACAGCACTTACATTGGAGGTAGGATCTCTAATGGTTACGCAATTAACTTGTTGGCCGCTTTTTCAGCATTAGAGTGATACTGAAATAAATTTGCATACATTTTGAGTGGATTTATTCATGTTTTTGTTTGTTTGTTTTTGCTTGGTTGCTGTTTTATCTGAATTTTGCTCCTGTTGGACTAATGCAGACTTTCAGTTTCATGAATAGAATTGCATTATGTTAAGAGATTTTAACCTGTCAAAAAGATTCTTGCCATTTTCTGTTTTGTTATGTACAAATACATTTTAAAAAAGACCAAAAAAAATACAGTTTTATGAATCATAAACATTTTCAAGGCCTCTTCCAGTTACAGAGTCCTCTCACTGCTGATCAAGGAATTAAACACACAATACATGTGATCCAATCAACACCATTAAACAACACAAAGCAGCGCACACTATCTAATTACCAAACAACTGTGTGCTGTGCAGCATTAATTCTTAAGAAGTGCAGTCGTAAGGACAGGCGTGCACAGAGTTACAGGCTCGCAGAACTCATAAAATCGATCATTGCACAGTGCTGCATGGGTTCCAGCACAAAAATGCATTGATGAAGTTTGGCAGTGGAGCAGATCTGACCCTTGGATCATTAAATAATCAGATTGCCGTAATGGAAATTGAGTCTTCCCTGTCAGCAAATGTTTAGTAAGTGCAACACTGACCAAAATTATGACG